ATGATCACACCAGCAAGCAAGGTACGATATCCTTCCATCCCTAAGGGCATAAGTAGTTTAGCATTGCTAGATTCCAGAAAAGCGAGAACTTCTCCCCTAAAACCAGCAGAGATCTCAAAATACTGGAGCAGAACTCATCCCAGGCTGTGCAAAGATCCCTCAGCTCAGGGATTTTGTTTGTTTTACAAACAACTGCTCCTGACAAGCTCTGCTGTTCTATTAGCAGAGTTGGGAAAACAGCCTGCTGGAGGACACCGCACACGTGCAAACACGCATGACGCAATGAGCCATGTGTGCACATCTGCGCTCTGCTGTATTGTGACACCCAGAATCATTTGGTCTAAGTGTTGTTTCTGTGATGGAGATCTGCAAAATCTCCATTAACAACAAACACTCTGCTATTAGCCAGGTGCTGTGATCACACAGCTGCTCCCTAAATTCCCCCCTCAGCACTCGAGACCAAAGGACCGCAGTAAGAGCAGCGCACCGCTGGCACGGTTCACTGTTTAAGCAGAGGCGTGTCCAAGCAAAGCCATCTGCAGAAACACAGCGGCAACAACAGAAACAACTGCTTAGCTGCACGGCTTGACAAGTGACTTACCCTCTCTGAACTCTGTTAACCCAATTTTATACATGAGGAGAGTTACAAGGCCTCCTTCAAGTTTGAGGATTAAACATGACGATGCATCTAAATGCTTGGCACAAAGTGAGTGAGCAAAGCACGTTAGCTATTACATCCAACCTCTCTTTCAACTAGAACTTTTGGCCGAATTGAGAAAACAAAAATCCTTTATCTTTGGCCATTTAATTACCTTTATTTTCCAAACAACTGTGTGACCAGGTTTGAACAGAGCTAATGCAATTTATTTTAAGATGCACTGGGACCTCTGTCCTTCCTATAACTGCTCAGGTAAGTCAAAACGTGCCCAGGAGTCAGTTCCTGAAGGGGCAGCCGTGGCTCTGATGGGTGTGGTTTAAAAGCAAAAGAAAAGTGCTTTTTTAATGAAGGGAGTAGATTTGACTTACTGCTTTTCTCTTAAATGGAGATCAGCACATACTCGGCAGCAAATTTTGCATATGAAATCCAGCTCAAGGAAGCCTCTAGGTTGCTAATGCATGCTTGCAGATATAGCAACTATAATGAAATGGCTGCTTTTTAATGATTTCCTATAATGGTGTTTATATATGGAAGCTTTTTCCTCCGATTGAAGCAATTTAATTGGAAAATGGCAGAGGAGTAAGAGGCGAACGTCCAGTTCCGATGAACACACAGGGACTGCACTCTGCTGCAGCCTTAATGAGCCTCCTGGCTGTCCCAGGGCCTTCCCTCCTTGGGGACCTGCAGGCGTGGGCTCTGTGCCCACAGCACTCTTCTCCTGCCTCCTGCTGTTCACTTGCACTGCCTCCACTTGTCCCTCGGTGTGTGTCTTAAGTGCAACTCATTCTCCAATGCTCCCATCCAAGGGGGTCACTAGGGGCCGCGTCCACCTTCTATTGTGTTCCTTGCCCCACTGCTGGTCATTCTGTTTCCCTCTACATCCCCCAAAGAATCGTGAGCTCCGAGATGGCATCACTGCTCCTCTATGTGCGGGCACCGTTACACTGGCAAACAGGAGAGCTGCCCACACAGAGCAGGAGAGCCTGATAAAGGCTGGTAATGTGCAACGAAATCAACGCAGACACAGGACATCATCAGGTAGCGCTAAGTGCTATGAAGACAAATCAAGTAGGGGAGGGAAGAGTGTGCCTGGGAGCCTGAGTGAGTGGGTGCTGTCCCACCCCGAGAGAGGTCAGGGCTGGCTTGATGAGAAGACCGCTGGCTGACTGTGGGAGGAAGCCAGGTGGGCTGTGGGAAGGAAGGGACAGACAGAGGAACAGCGAAGGCAGAGGCCCTGAAGCAAGGGAGGCTGTCAGGTTTGAGGGTCAGTGAGGAGGCCAGAGCTGGAGGAAAACAGGGAGCACTGGGGAGGACGAGGTTCGAGGCGGGGGATGCCCAGGTTCTAAGGGGCACTGTAGGCCATGGTAAGAAGCTGGGATATCACTCTAGGTGTGAGGGGCTGGAGTATGGGAGTACAGCCACCTGATGGCAGATTCTGTCTGACATCGCCAGACCCTAGCACAGTTCCCCTTGAGTTTCTGAATAAATGAATGAAGGTCCCCTATTGTGGACAGAGAACATAGAGAGGCCCTGGGCACAAAGGGTTCCTTCCTCCAGCTGTAATGAACATATATATATTTTTTTTAATGAGGGAAAGGATGGAAAGAAATGCAGAGCCCGAACTACAGATGCTCTCTCATTTTGGGTGCCCTGAGAAGTCCCATAGTAAAGACACCCAGCCCATGTTAGTAAATGGCTTCATCCCTCCATTTCCCAACCTTATTTGCTTACGAAACTTTGTTGGAGTGGGTCACTTATTTAATTTCATAGAATTTCAGAGATATGAATGGAGGGATCAGTGTCGGTACGTCTCTGTAGTAATCATAACTTTTTGGCTGCTTGCACTTGTCTGTCTGCCTAAGGCTGGAAGACAAAGTCCAGAAACTGGGGGCTGCTGCGGTTAGAGATGATGAGGCTGGTATAACTTAGCATATAGGACTTGGGCCCATGGGTGGGGTCGGGGTCTGGGTTCAGGTTTGAGGGAGGCAGTTTTGTTTTGAAGCCAAGACTCCAGGCCTGGGAGGCATCCCCACTCCTCAACCCATTTCTGTCTGGCTCAATCGGTATCAGCTTTCAATGACTTTAATGTAGCTAAATCTGTCTTATTTGGCTTTAGCAGCAACCCAGCTCCACCAGCTTCCAGACACCTTTCTCCTCATTTCCTTCATATAGCTTTGCCTGATAGACCGCTTCATACATTGGTTGGTTGCTTCACTTGTTCATTCAGAGAAGTATCTCTGAACTTGTGCTATGTGCCAGGCCTTGTGGTGGGGAGCTAGAGATATGCCAGTAAATAAAACAAGCATGCTTCTGCCCAGGGAAGGTTAGTGGGAGAGTCAGTCAAGCAAAGAAATACAAAAACATCATTTAAAAGTTTAACGTGATATAGGAAGGAATCAAATGGGGCAGTGACAGCACAGGGACTCAGAGACTGTTGCTCATGAGATGCTTTTGAAGGAGGTGCATTTAAACCCAGAGCAAAATGAGAGGCCCATCCCTGCCAATGAACTCCTGCTGGTGGCCCCAAGGCTTAGTCCCAGGCTCTTTGCAGTTTTCACTCTATGCACAGATTTCATTGCTTTAGTAACTTTCTGTAAATAACCTGATGTCTCCTAGCTGCTTTTCTTCAGCCCACACCTCTCCTCTTGGCTTCTTATGTATACCTACTGCCTTCCCCAAACATCTCCACCCAGATTATCTCCAGACACCTTAAATTTATGTCCAAACAAAACACATGATCTCCACCCCACCCCACCCTCCCCCCAAACAAAAACCAAAACAAAACAAAATTGAAAGCAAAACCACCTGGTCCTTTCTCCTGTGCTCCCTTACTGGAGACTGGCCCCACCGTTCATCCACTGTGCAATCCAGACATGTATGTTCCTTTATCCTCTGTTCCAATCCTTCAGCCAGATCTTGCCATTTTATACCTTTTCTACACCCATCTGCTTTTCTACATCTCAAATGCCACTACCCAAGCAACAATTCTGTCCACCTACACTTCTTCAGTGGTTTCCTCGTTGGCCTCCCCATGCACTCTTGATCCGCTGATTCTTTCTCCTCACTTCAGAATGACTGATTCAAAATGCAAATCTGATGGTCTTTTCCCCTCCCTCCCACTATTAAAGTCTTTCAGTTGGTTCTTGTGGATCTTTGAATAAACATCAAACTCTCTAACACATGATCTGGCCCCTGCTGGCCTCTCCGGCCTCCATCTCACATCTCTGTGCCCTTCATACACGATAATCTTTTTTCACCTCCTGGAATGCATCTGTCTTCACCCCCGAATGCCAATTCCTTTGATACACTCTCATAGTACCATGCTCCTTAATGGTGTAGCACTTACGTTTATAATTAAACATAAACGTGTAATATTTGATTCAGGCCTCTCTCTTCGATGAAATGTTAAGCTACATGAAAATTGCACTACACTTACTATTCCTTCTCTCGGTTCTTCTCCCATCTCTCCCCTACATGTGAACATTTCCTAAGACATGGGTCTCCTCCCTCTTTTGACTCCTCACCCTTTTGACCACAGAGATCTCCTTACTTCATAACTTCAAAGCCTTTATCCTCAATCTCAATCTCTCCAAAAAGTCAGTTAGGCATGGCCAAGTAGACTGGTGGTTTTGCAACATTTTGACTGCAACCCACACTTGGAACATTTCATGTGGCAACTTACTATATATGCACACGTAACAAATAATTTTCATGAACCAATACCGTCAATCCATTTTTTCCCTATTTGATTTCATTTAAAAAATATTCATTTTTCACATAATTTCAAGACCCACTAATGGGTCATGACCTGCAGTTTAAAAACACACCATACAAACACATGGTACCAGATATTTCCACATGGACATTTCTCTACAACCTCAGATATAAGGTATCTATTTCCCAACTCATTTCTCAACCAAACTTCTTTCCAAGGAACATAATCATTCTCTTAGTCACTCAGGATCAACACGTTAGAGTCATTTTGGATTCCTCCTTTCCCAATAGTTGCTTGGTTCATCCGCTGCAATGTGTCTCCACCCATTTTAGCATTTCTGTTTCTGCCATCCTAATTCAGACTTGACTGTAACTTGGGGCATTCCAACAGCCTTTATGACTGGCTCCCTCCTTCCAGAACTTTCACACAGAGGTGACACATGTTTGAATCACAAACATCAGGGCAGAAAGCTAATTCGGCTCTTCAGTTCTATTTTGACCGACAAAGTAGTATGTCAGGGACTGAAACGGATGTGCTTTCATCTACTCACCAAACTCCTTGACTAACTAAATTTTAGTTGAGGCTGCCTCACATCTCTATACATTCGTGGATGGGAGGCAGACTCACCCATGTCGGCGGTGACCATGGTGGACTGGTTTTCCGGGATGGAGACTGAGGTCTGGTCCTGGTCCATGCTTCGAGAGTCCTCGTTGACCTCCTGTTGACTCTGGCTGAGTTCCGATCGCAGTTCTGAGTACTCATCTTCCTCCCTGAGGAAAAAGGAGAGTTGACAAATCTCCAGAGAACACATCATTTACGGAAAAGGGAAAAGAGACATTCAGAGAGAAAACAGATAGACTCCCCCACCCCCACCCGCCACCTGGACCAGGGTTCCTTGGAGCCAAACAGATGGTCCCATCTATGGTCAGTGTATGAAACGGAAAGCTTGCTTCTGTGTCCACATACATACCCATATAACCAACAAGACTCACCTACCAGCCTCCTAGGAAATTTTCCCCTCCAAAGATTTCCTGAAGAAATTAGATTTCTTCAGCCCCTCAAATACCAAGGTGAGAAAGAACTAAGGCTACTGGCACTGATGCTACAGTGAGCAAAATAATCCAGACTCCGGCGAACAGAAATGGCTGTGCTGTGGCCTGCAGGGTCCCACTGGCGGGCCTTCTTCTTGGAGGACATAGGGGGTGCTGGGGCCAGAGCTACTGGAGGGCCAGCACCTCATCCGTGCGGAATAAAGTGGATGCTCCGAGAGGCACACGGAGCAGCGTGTCTAAAAATCACACATGTAATTTCCCCAAAGAAAGTAGAGAGAATTAGAGCACGGGAAAAGGGGGTGGAGCGAGGAGGAAAGTGAAACAGTGCGTGAGCCCACACCGCGCAGCGGCCCATCTCCTTGCGTTCACATTTGCTAACAGGGAGAGGACACTTAAATGCAGCTAGGGCTCATTAGCGCGAGAACGCCCACCCCTTCTCAGGCCTTCATGGATCCCTCAGCCTTTGGTTTCTGAATTAATTATAAGCAAGCCAAGAAAGCTTAAAAACGTAGTATGTATTTCAAGGCACACCCATACTTCCTCTCCACACCACCATCCTCGTTGCGCACACACTGGGCACAGACATGGAGAGAGCAAAATTGACCCTCTTTGAAGCATTTATTTTGCAAGTGAGCTAGAGGAGAAAATTGTCAGTGGATTCAATTATGAGGCTGGAAAGCCCACAGGTGCCTGCTCAGCCCCAGGGGAAGGGTGTCTGTGAAGAAAGCTAGGAAGAGAAGAAATCCTCTCAGCCTGGCTTTTACTTTAAGGTTTTGACTGTGTGTGTGCGCGCGCGTGTGTGCAGAAAGTCTCCAGTCTTGGACAGACCAAGATGGTGAATGGTGATCATCTCTGGAACTTGGGAAAGAGGCAACTGCCATTTTAAGCTGGGGAGACACATCTATAAATTAGAGAAATGTGAAGATCTCTTTAGACTTTTTGGTTCTCTCAAGAAATCAACATCCTCCCAGGGAAAGGATTCAGCTGAGCCCCTACTTTACAAAGTATTTTTAATAAAAGCCACCTAAGTGTGGGTAAACTTTACATAGATATAAAGCCCCCAGATGTGCAAAATATGAAATAGAATGAGAGTGGTGAAGGCAAAAAAAATAATGTTCTATGACTAAGTTAACTATTAGGCACCTGCAAAACTAACGATAATTAGGTTTAGGAAATAAAACAATTAAAAAGTACTCATAAGAGTCGCCTTTTTGGTCTAGTGGGTAATTGTGTCCTGATGTATCAGCTCTCCTTCCAATCAGCACTTAAAATGCTGATTTCTATTAACAAGAGATTTTGTGTATGAAGAATAAGTTACCTTTGTTGCATGGCCAATGCAATCAGCTTCAGCTTGGCTGAGGTTGTTTTACAGCTAAGAAAGCCAGATAAGTGCTGCTGCTGCATCTATGGTATAAGTAGCATTTGCAAAGTCTTTAAAAGCCACCTTAAACTTTCCTGGCTTGGCAGGTTCTAAAACATACAGTGCTTGTCAAATCTTTGGCTTTGTAAGGAATTACTTCTAGAGATTATTAGGATGAACTTTGTCAAGGAGTGCACAGGGAAGGGGTGAGAGAATGAAGTGTTGGTTGTAGGCAACATTCCTTACTGAGGGTGGAGCACAGCCTGAGAGTTACACCACACTAGAAATGTCGTCTGAGCAAGAAGGCTTTCTGTGTCATGAAATGCAAATCAAGGGTCGTCATTCAATGTATCTGAGCACCAAAACAAGGGCAGGAAAGCAAACACCAGGTGGATGCTGTCTTCTGGGAATCAAATATGTTCACAACAAATTCTATCCTAACAAGGATGCTGTGTTGGACATGGGAGGAGCATGTGGGGCTGCAGGTGGGCAGTGACCAGGGAAGACTTCCTGGATGGAGCAGCACTCAAGATGTGTCTCAAGGAAAGTAGATTTTAGATGGAAGGGCATATGCAAAGGCTCAGAGGAGCCTGTGAAGGTGACTATGTGGAGGCTTGGGGAGGAATAAGTGGTTCGGTGTAGCTGACACCAAAATGGGGTGCAGGATGGAAACGTGAGGCTAAGGGGCCACTCAGGCCACTTGCTGAGTGGGCAATTTTGATTAAATGAATGTACTGTAGTGAAGGAGGCAAATAATCAGGGTTAGATGGTGGAAATAAAGATAAAATGTGTGAGGTATAGGAATTCAGGAGGAATAAATGTTGCCGAGATCTTGCATGGAAACAGATAAAATAAGCAGAAGGAAAGGGCAGAAGGTCTGTATTCTTGACCCCACCGGGAGGGGCTGAGCACACACTATCGCTGGTTAAGGCTCCTCCATATGGTAATCAATGCATATTACAGCACACAAAAAAAGGAGCCTTGTGAGAGGATCAGGCAGGGCTCTGTGTCACAAAGAATGAGGTCTAGAAAGGTTAAACCAAGCTTAAATATTAGAAAGTTTGTGCAACCTGTTTCGCCCACTGATTTTGGTAGAAAAAAATCATGAGGTGCATAGCCTGATCTAAACTTCATCATCGGCATCATTCCTGAAAGAAGGCTGGAATCTGGGACTGGGAAATGACAAATTCTCCAGGGTCCCTTGTAAAATGGCGGTCCATTTGGGATTGCAGCAAATATAGGAGGCTGAGGCTAGGGGAGATTTCTCTCTCTATCGTATTGCTGAGGAGAGTGAGTCCATCAAGAGCAATGGAAAAGGAGTTCAGTAACCCTGCACTGGCCCATGGCAGTTCTACAAAGGCAAAAACCTGAGGTGTGTTTTCAAGGCTGTTTTGTGCAGCAGTGAGTCACGGAGCTGGTAAAGATGTTTATCTAGCTAATGACACGGCATCTGCAGCTCAAAGTGACTTTACTGTTTGCTTACTTCTGTTTGTGGATGTAGTAACTCTTGGCAAGTGATAACTTACTTCTTGGAGGGGAAAATGCCTCCCAAAAGAACACCAACTGTTAGGGTGGTAATGAAAAGAAAGAAATGTGAAAAGGTCTAAGAAGTAATCATATTAACCTCAAAAACGAGACGCTTGGCGAAACTGATACATGTTGATAAGATTATACACTATTGTGGCAGTTTCATAATTATGGGATTGTACAGTTCTCAGTTGTTCGTCTTTGGGACATAAAGGATCATCTCACAGGATTCTAAATGTACATCATTTCATTCACTTACAAGCATTTGTGAAGTGCTTCCTAGTTGCTCTATTTAGAGTTGCAATAATCAGTGCTTGCTGCTTGCTTAAACAACAGAACCAAACAAGAATGCTCCAGAGGAGGCAGGCATTAGACTGTACACACATCTGGGCAGGTAACTAGCTGTGGCACAAAAGTCACAGGCTGGCTGACTGGAAGGGGTCTTAGAGACCATCTAAGCCAACACCAATACCTTTGCTTTACAAATAAGACAACTGAAGCTTCAAGAGGCAAAGCAACTTATCCAAGCTGATGCCACTAGTTAATATCACAGCCTAATTCCTAAATTTAGTACCAACAAAACAACACTCCAGTATAGGAGCCTAAGGAAAAGTATCTTTTGTTGCAGTTATTTTGTTTTTGTTAATCCTCACCTGAGGATATTTTTTCCCATTCCTTTTCAGAGAGAATGGGAGGGAGGGACGGAGGGGGAAAGAGAGAGAAACATCCACGTGAGAGACACATCAACTCGCTGCCTCCCTCACCGAGGGACAAGGGCTGACGCTGTAACCACTGAGCACACTGGCCAGGGCTGTTGCAGTTATTTTTAAAGATTCCTTCTCTTTATTGGTCAGGCATGAAATGATCTAATCAGAAAGGGGAAAAGTCAATCAAAGTATAATTCTCATCATGCTCTCCAGACCTCAAGCTGTGGAATCAGCAGCATTTGATAAAAATATGACATTAGCAAATCCCATGTTAATTTGGGGGTATACATTCATGTCTTATCACTGGATTGGACTGATTTTTTAAAAATATGTTTTTATTGATTTCAGCGGAAAGAAGGGAGAGGGAGAGAGAGAGAGAAACATCAATGATCAGAGAGTCATTGATTAGCTGTCTCCTACAGGTCCCCTACTAGGAATGAAGCCCACAACCCAGGCATGTGCCCTGATCGGGAATTCAACTGTGACCTCCTGGTTCATAGGTCGATGCTTAACTACTGAGTCACACCAGCCGGGCTGGAGTGATTTGTGAACAAGACCTAGACGGACATCTGTCTGTGTTGGCAACTGTCAGCCAACTATGTCCAGCTAAACCTTTAGTGGTTTTTCTGAACCACATTCTGCTTTTCTTACAATTAAAGGTGGACCTGCCTAGAAGTGACCATCATTCTTTTAAAGAACAAAGACTTTTTAGATATAAGGAGGAATTGTATTCTGTTCAGTTCTCTTAGAGGATCTATAGCAGGAAATAAGTGATGAGTGAAGTCCTGATTCTTCAATTCTACCTCTTGTAATTTTTTCATACAGCACAGAGAAAGCTTGGACTCATCTCTGAATCTTTTGGAGAATAACTGAACAAACGAGATTCTGAAAGGCGGCCATCCTGCCATCAGTGAGTACCAGTTTTAATAAGATCTGGTAGAGGAGCAATATTCAAGAACTTCTAAATATGTATGACACACAGGAAGACAGGGAGAGAGAAATCTCTTATTTTTTTCTGGGTTTATTTTTATTTCAGTATATTTTACCTTTTAGGCCAGAAATTAATCAAAACAACATGTTCTGCTGGGAAATAAAGAGGTTTTGGTTACACTGTTTTCAATGCA